TTGCTCCTTCCACTGCTGACCCGTCGCTGTTTCTGCGCACCGACACTTCACTGGCGCCGTTCTACATCCTCGTCTACGTCGACGACTTGGTCTTTGCCACAGCGGACACTGCTGGAATCGCCTACGTGAAGTCTGAGCTGCTGAAGAGACACACGTGCACAGACCTGGGTGAACTGCGCAGCTACCTTGGCTTGCAGATCACTCGGGACAGAGCACGCCGCACCATTACCTTGACTCAGTCACACATGGTGCAGCAGGTCCTTCAGCGCTTCGGCTTCACGTACTCCTCGCCTCAGGCCACTCCTCTGTCTACTCGTCACTCGCTCTCAGCTCTGCCTTCGGATGAGTCCGTAGAGTCGAGTGGCCCGTACCCAGAGCTTGTTGGCTGCCTCATGTACCTGATGACCTGCACTCGACCTGACCTTGCATACCCTCTCAGCATCTTAGCACGCTATGTCGCTCCCGGCCGTCACCGGAAGGAGCACATGGATGCAGCTAAGAGGGTGTTGCGCTACTTGTGCAGTACGTCGGGCATGGGGCTAGTGCTTGGAGGGCGAGACCGGCCTGTTCTCACTGGGCACTCAGACGCTTCTTGGGCAGACGACCAGGCTACGCAGCGGTCGTCACAGGGTTACACCTTCAGCCTTGGCTCCGGCTCTGTCTCGTGGCGGGCTACTCGCTCGTCTTCGGTTCTCAGCTCGAGTTGTGAGGCTGAGATCTACGCAGGGGTCATGGCTGCACAGGAGCTTCGCTGGCTCACCTACCTGCTGACTGACCTTGGAGAGCCGCCTCGTTCTCCTCCAGTGCTGTACGTAGACAACAAGGCCATGCTGGCCTTGTGTCGAAAGCAGCGTCTGGAGCACAGAACGAAGCACATTGCTCTTCGCTACTTCCTTGCTCGTGAGCTACAGCAGCGTGGACAGTTGCGGCTTGCGTACGTGGCCTCTAAGGCCAACACTGCTGATGTGTTCACCAAGGCACTCGCGCCTTGTGACCATCAGCGCTTCTGCACCCAGCTGGGTCTTGTGCCTGTCTTGCCTCACTTGCTCTCCTCTTGACTTTACTTGTACTGTCACATATATATACCTGCTCTTGCTTGTCTAGCTTTATATATATATGTGTGTACTCCTGCATGTGAACTGGCCTTCTGGCCTTGCTCTTGTGCTCGGACTGTGTGGTGACTTTGTGATCCACCTTGAGCTTTGCTGTGCTTTGCTTGACTGGTCTTGTGACCCCTTGTTCTCCCCCACTTTGCCTATGGGGGTGTGTCAGAACATATATGTAGCTTATGCTGTTGTGTAGGCTACAGTGGGGTATCCCATAGGGGGTACAACCCAATTAGGGTTTTGCTATTTGTACTCACTTCACTCATAGTTCATTCATTTCTCGTTCTATTCTCAACAGCCGAGACCAGCTCGTCGAGCACAGCACGCCGAGCAGTGCCCATAGAAGGGTTTCGTCAACCACTAATGTGCATTAGCAATGCACGTCGGCGTCGTCGACTGGATCCCGTCGAGCAGAGCATGCGACAGCATTTTTGTCGTCGACCGTCCCGTCGTCGACATAAAACGAAGTGTTGTCGAAGAGAGTTTGAAAACCAATCACTGCCATAGGTGAACTACCAACCTTTTCAGGTAATGTAAAAATCATACAATTTGGAAAGCTATACGATAGTTTGTTGAATATGATGTTTTTTATGTATTTATTACATAGACAAATATGGTCTGTTCGACGGGGTAATAAAATGCAGCTGCCAAACTCTACTTCAACAATAACATTGCTTGTGTCGATTGTCCACGTTCACGATATGTATTAACGTATAGTAAAACTCGAGCATTGTTGATTAGTTATGTGATTGTGAGTCTCGATGCTACAAAGAGAAGTGAAACAGGGTGCTGGCGGCGATAGATATGCTTGGTCGATTGAAATAAACTTCTCGACCGCTATGCTCTGTCTGTCGAAATCTTTCGTTTTGACGACTGGGGATAATGTGTCAGAACATTATAGCTTACTTATTTGTGTAGGCTATAGTGGGGTATCCCATAGGGGGTACAACCCAATAAGGGTTTCATATTTGTACTCACTTCATTCATAGTTGATTCATTCTCCTTCAGTTTTCCACATGGTATCAGAGCAGAAGCCTCACCGGCACCTGGAGCAGCAGTACCAATGCCCTGGTCGGGCGGGAAACACCGGTAACAGTCACCCTCCTCACTAATGGTCACAGCATACATGGCAGCAAGGATAGCATCAAAATCAAGATCAAAGATAGCTACACCAGCCCTAGACAGCTCTCCCCAGCGGGGGATCTCCGCGGCCTCCGGGAACTGCTGCCGCCAAGCGTCCGTCAGGCGGCCAAAGCAGCGCTGGGCGGAGTGGGCACCCCCACACTGCTCTAGGTGCCAGTGCGTCTGTGCTCTCAGGTGCTCGTGAGTCTGCGCTCTCAGGTACTGCGTCGGCTTTGGCCTCCCACACCTTCACTCTTGACTCTGGAGCGTCTCGCTCTTTCTTTCGAGACCGCACCACACTTACGTCGCTTAGTCGGCCGGTTGCGGTTTCCCTGGATGACCCCTCTGGGGGTCCTGTCCTGGCTCGCTTCTCCACGGTCCTCCCATGTCCGGCGGCTCCCTCTGGCACCCTGTCTGGTCTCTACCTCCCCTCGTTCTCTACGAACTTGGTGAGTGGTGCTGACCTACAGGATGTGGGAGTCCACCAGTTCACCCCTGCTAGTCAGCGAGTGACGCACTGCACGGAGGCTAGCACGGGTCGTCACCTGGCTACGTTTACACGTCGGCCAGGGTCGAGCCTGTACACACTGACCACTGCTTCTCCTCCAGGTGCTGAGTCTGGTAGAGTCCCTTCGTCTGGTCAGGTGTTTGCTGCAGCGTCCAGGTCTGGTCCTGAGTCTGCCCCCTGTTTGTGTCGCCGTCTGTCTCACGAGACCCTCCTCTGGCACCACCGTCTTGGCCACCCCTCTCTGCTTGCGGCTCTTGGGTTTGCTCCTTCTACTGCCGACCCGTCGCTGTTTCTGCGCACCGACACCTCTTTGCCGCCGTTCTACATCCTCGTGTACGTCGACGACTTGGTCTTTGCTACAGATTACACTGCTGGACTCGCCCACGTGAAGTGCGAGCTGCAGAAGAGACACACGTGCACAGACCTGGGTGAACTGCGCAGCTATCTTGGCTTGCAGATCACTAGGGACAGAGCACGCCGCACCATCACCCTGACTCAGTCACACATGGTGCAGCAGGTCCTTCAGCGCTTCGACTTTGCGTACTCCTCACCTCAGGCCACTCCTCTGTCTACTCGCCACTCGCTTCAAGCTGTGCCTTCGGATGAGTCCGTGAAGCCGAGTGGCCCGTACCCAGTGCTTGTTGGCTGCCTCATTTACCTGATAACATGCACTCGACCTGACCTTGCGTACCCTCTTAGCATCCTGGCACGCTATGTTGCTTCTGGGAGACACCGACCAGAGCACATGGCTGCAGCAAAGAGGGTGTTGCACTACTTTTGCAGTACGTCAGGCATGGGGCTCGTGCTTGTAGGGCGGAGTCCAGTTGTCCTCACTGGTCACGGAGACGCGTCTTGGGTTGACAACTTAGCTACGCAGCGGTCGTCACAGGGTTACACCTTCAGCCTTGGTTCCGGTTCTGTTTCGTGGCGGTCTACCCGCTCGTCTTCTTTTCTCAGCTCCAGCTATGAGGCTGAGATCTACGTAGGGGCCATGGCTGCACAGTAGTTACGCTGGCTCACCTACCTGCTGACTGACCTCGGAGAGCCGCCTCGTTCTCCTCCAGTTCTGTACGAAGACAACAAGGCCATGCTGGCCTTGTGTCGGGAGCACAGACTGGAGCACAGAACGAAGCACATTGCTCTTCGCTACTTCCTTGCTCGTGAGCTGCAGCAGCGTGGTCAGTTGCGCCTTGCTTACATGGCCTCTCGGGCCAACACTGCTGATATCTTCACCAAGGCACTTCAGCCTTGTGATCATCAGCGCTTCTGTACTATGTTAGGTCTTGTGCCTACTTGGCCTCACTTGCTCACTTCTTGACTTTGCTTGTACTGTGCTCTATATATACATGCACTTGCATGTTTACCTTTATATATATAATCCTGCATATGAACTGGCCTTGTGGACTTTGAACTTCTGCTCAGAATGTGTGGTGACGTTGTGATCCACCCTGAGCTTGCTGTGCTTTGCTTGACTGGTCTTGTGACCTCTAGTTCTCCCCCACTTTGCCTATGGGTGTGTGTCAAACATTTATCATATAGCTTATCAGGCTATAGTGGGGTAGACAGTAAGGGGTACAGCTTCCTATGGTTTCCTACTTGTACCCACCCTTGTTCTAGTTCATTCATTCCCTCGGTATTCCACAGGAAGGTCAAGGATATCACGGTCCAAATGAGAAATCGAAGATCGAGGTGTAGCACATTAATAGTAAGCCCGAGTTCCACATGGCTATTTTCAAATTCAAGTTTCTTGAATATGAATTTGTCAAAAGCCATGCTACCACCTGAAGTGGAGCATTTTGTCGTGATCAAGAGGCGAGGTTTTGCGACGGTGATCTATGATTGGCCAGAGACAAAACCAGTAATACATAGTGGAGGGTCAGAGGGCAATGGAGCACGGTTCACAGTCAGTACACTTGAAAACCATGTTGTACTAGTTGGCAAGCATATTGACAGGCAACGTATACGTAGTTCACTCGTTTGACCCGACCAAACTTTCTCCGTATTGCTCCTTTTCTCCGTAGCTCTCAGCTATATCCTTACAGCAGCCTATTTGGCGACAAATACAAATAGCCAATCATAAAATACAGTTGGAGATGCCCATTCGTACAATACATACAGACATGCACGTGCATTTTGCACCGAACCAGATCTAGTTGCTCGAGCGACACCAACACGTGCCCTGCATGTCATATTTGCATCCACCTTCCCCCCTCCCCCCCCTTCGTGTCCAACCCGGGTTGCCCATCTAGACGGTCGCACGGCAGATGGTCAAAAAAATTTCCTTCCAACCGTCACTCTTCCTTCCGACCGTCACTCTCCCTTCCGACCGTCGCTTTCCCTTCCGACCGTCCCTCTCCCTTTTGCTGTCGCTCTCCCTTCCGACCGTCGCTCTCCCTTCCGCCGTCGCTCTCCCTTCCACCGTTGCTCTCCCTTTCGTCCTCGCTCTCCCTTCCACTGTCTCTCTCCCTTCTGCCATTGTTCTCCCTTCCGCCTGTTGCCCTCCCTTGTTTTCGTCACCCTCCCTTCTAGTCGCCCTCCATTCGCGTCACCCTCCCTTCCTTTCAACCCCCCTTTCCGTTGCCCTCCCTTCCCGTTGCCTTCCCTTCTCGATGACCGCCCTTCTTCCTAGCGCCCTCCCTTCTTCTTAAAGCCCTCCCTTCTGCTCTTCCCCTCGCTTTCTCTATCTCCCTCTCTCCTTGTCGCCATTGCAATCCCAGTCTCCCTCTCTCCCCATCGCCATCGCTTTCCCCGTCGCCCTCACTTTCTCCGTTGCTCTACCATCCACTGCTCATCACCCTCGCCTTCCCTCCCGTCTCCGTTCCCATCTTGCACATTTGTCACCCTCCCTTTTCTCCCCCTACTCCCTCTTTTCCCCCCTCCAATAATCTCCTTCCTTCCCCCCACTTATACCACCCTCCACACCGCTTACCTCTTTCCCTCTTTCCCCCATTCTCCGCCGTGCTCCCCACCATCCTCTGCCCTGCTCTCTCCCCAGCATCTGCCCACATTCCCCCCATCCTCTTCCCTTTTTCCCCGCACCCCCTGCCCTGCTTTCCTCCATCATCTGACCTGCTTTCTCCCATCATCCTCTGACCTGCTTCCCCCTACTTCCCCCCACTATCGGCCCTACTTCCCTCAATCCCCTGCCCTTCTTCCCCCCATAGTATCCCTTTCCATGTGTCCTTCCTCTCCCTGCCCGTGTGTCCTCTCCCTATCGTTCGCAGTTCCCCTGCTCGTCACCCTCGCTCGTTGGGGAAATGCCCGCCGCAAGTGCGGGCGTTGTGCGTCTGCCCCCTCTCCCATTCCGTTCTGCTTTTTTGTTCGCATTCCTTCCCACCCTCTCTCAATCCTTCCCACCCTCTCTCATTCTTTCCCACCATCTCTCATTCCTTCCCACCCTCTCTTATTCATTCCCAACCTCTCTCATTCCTTCCCACCCTCTCATTCCTTCCCACCCTCTCTCATTCCTTCCCACACTCTCATTCTTTCCCACCCTCTCTCATTCCTTCCCACCCTCTCTCATTCCTTCTTACCCTTTTGCCCCCATTCCTCCTCGCCCTCCCTCTCTCATCCATTCCTGAACTTGCTCTCTCTCCTTCCTCTCGCACCCTCTCTCACATCCATTTCTGACCTTGTTTCCCCCTTCTCCCTGTGTCCCTTCTCCATGTGCCCTGTCTCCCTGTCCCCCGTCTCCCTGTCCCCCTTCTTCTCCCTGTCCCCCTTCTTCTCCTTGTCCCCCGTCTCCCTGTCCCCCTTATCCCTGTCCCCCTTATCCCTGTCCCCCTTCTCCCTATCTCCCTTAACCCTCTCCCCCTTATCCATCTCCCTCTTCTCCTTGTCCCCCATCTCCCTGTCCCCCTTATCCCTGTCCCCCGTCTCCCTGTCCCCCTCAACCCTGTCCCCCTTCTCTCTGTCCCCCGTCTCCTTGTCTCCCGTCTCCCTCTACTCTGCTCCCACTTACACTTGCATCCAATATGTACCCCACATGCCACCAGCCTCCACCACTCCTTCCATCCATCCTGCCATCTAGTCTCGCAATGTTGGGACACATTGAATGAGTGTTTAGCACTGATCAATGACTCACGACACCGAGCCTCCACCCCCCCGTCCACCCTCGGCCACACCCGCCATCCCATCTCCTCTCCCACCCAACCTCCCACCCACCCCCCTCTCCCACCTAAGCCCAATACCACCCTTACCTAAGGAAAGTTGTCTCTTGCTCCCTTTTCCCTTTCCCTCAGGCCGCCTTCCTTCCTTATCGCCCTCCCCAACCACCTTAACCCAGCCCAGCTCTCCCATCCCCCTCTCCAACCACCACCTACAGCTTTCTCTCTCCCGCCACCCCCCTCCCTTTCCCTGCTGCCCGACCCCCTATCCTATCTGAGCACCCCTCTCACCCCATCCCTCGCAGCTCCCGCTCCCATATCATTACAATCCTCATCTCGCAGCCCTTTGCTCTTCTCGTAAGCCCACCTCCCCGCCTGCTCCCTGCAGGATGGGTGGTCGGTGAGGGTCCGTGCTGGGACTGGGCACGGCGTAGGGCGAGAAGTTGGGGAGCCCCTTCCCCACATCTCTTCTCCCCTTTCCCCAAATCTACTACCCACCGTCTCCACTCTTCCACCCCCCCTTCTCCGCTCCCACTAGTTGGGCCCACCTCACATTGATGAGCCTCACAGAGACAAGCAATCGCCTCACACTCTTGGCAGCAGCACCGCCTCCCGTCAACCTCGTCAACTTCCTCACGTTCAACCCCACCCCATCGCCCCTGAATCCTCTTGGCTCACCTCGTCCTGGGTGGGGCCGTCAGTCACATCAATCTCCATAAAAAAGCTCCCCTGCTCCGCGCAGCCATCATCCCCCCCTCCACCTGCTTTTCCTGCTGCCGCACTGCCCCACTCTCCTCCTCCTGCTTCTCGCCTGCTACTGCTGCTGATGCTGCTGTTGTTGGTGCTACTGTTGTCGTTGCTGTTGGTGTTGCTGCTGCTGTTGCATGGACAGAAATAGACGAGGGACAAAAACAACATAATGGAAGGGGGAAGAGAGAGGGTTAGAGAAAGAAGTGTGCGTGTGCTATGCGGGAAGTGAAGTAATAGTAGCAGGTGATGTAGATGGTCGTGGAGGGGCGGAGGGGGCGTGGGTGTGAAGTAGTATAGACTCATACAATACCCTCAAACAATGTGCCAAAACATCTCAGGCTGCAGACGACATTCGCTTGAGCATTTATAGTATACGAGCAACATGTTCTTATATCTGACACACTAATAGGGCCTCAAGCGGGATGCTTGTCCACACCTGCCAAATCGCAACATCGGATTTTACAAAAAATTTGTCACGTTGTGGCGCGAAACCATCAGACACTAAATTTGAGCACCTAAGTGACGTTGCGCTGACAAACCCATGGGTCGGACCTCTCCTGCACGCTCTGGTGAACACCACCCTAAAAGGGAGTTGTCCAGCACAGGTCGCACCCTCTTCTTCTCCTCACGCGTTCTCACCCTAGTCAAGCCCCATGGTGGGACGCTGCCCATAACCATATCCATAAGTGAATGTATTGTCAGAGTATGTTATTTGTCTAGCCTGCAGTGGGGTACTCAATAGTGAGTACAGCCCTTTAGGGTTTGCTATTTGTACCAACCTGCTTGCTAGTCCCATCATCCTTTTCTCAATTCTTGTTTCTCTTGAACTCTCGCTCGTACTTGGTGCCTTGTCCTAGACTTCCTGTGGCCTAGGCTCCTAAGCCTAGGCCCAACTACTTAGTATCTTTGACATGGTATCAGAGGGCGGCATGTCTGCCGCCTTCCTGTGTATGGGCCCACCACTTGCTTCCGCTTCCGCACTGTCCGCCGCGCGCCCCGTGGTGCACGGCGCCGAAATTAGGGTTTCTGCGCGCCGCGCGCTCGGGGTGCGTGGCGGTTTTCCCTTCCGTGGCGCCCGTCGTGGTGCCCTTGGGGGGCATGCGCGGTCCCCTCCCGTCGCCCGTCGTGGCGCTCTCGGGGGCCCGTGCGGCCTCCCCTCCCGTCGCCCGTCGTGGCGACCACGGGGGCCCGCGCGCGGTCCCCTTCTGTCGCCCGTCGAGGCGCTATCGGGGACATGCGCGGCCTCCTCTCCCGTCGCCCGTCGTGGCGACCACAGGGGCCCGCGCGCAGTCCCCTCCCGTCGCCCGTCGAGGCGCTCTTGGGGGCCTACGCGGCTTCCCCTCCCGTCGCCCGTCGTGGCGACCGCGGGGGCCCGCGCGCGGTCCCCTCCCGTCGCCCGTCGAGGCGCTCTCGGGGGCCCGCGTGGCTCCCTTTCACGTCGCCCGTCGGGGCGCCCTGGGGGCCGTGCTATTCCCCCCCCCTTCTTACCTTTCACCTGTAGCAGCCGCCTCTGGAGCAGCCCGCACCTGCAGCAGCCGCCCCTGGAGCAGCCCGCACCTGCAGCATCCGCCCCTGGTGCAGCCCGCACCTGCAGCAGCCGCCCCTGGTGCAGCCCGTGCCTGCAGCAGCCGCCCCAGGATCAGTGCGAGCCGCCCCTGCGGCAGCCCGCGGCCCGTCCTTGCAGCCAGTCCCGTCCCTCCCCCCCTCCCCCCCCCCCCCCCCCGTGGCGCCCATTGCTCCCATTCCGCTGTGCGTTCCGCAGTGGTGGGTGTGTGGGGTGCCGAGCATGGGGGTGATTGGTGTGGGTAACCTGAAGCTCCTCCTCCGTCTCCCACTGCTGCAGCTGCCGCTGAGGGGGGTGGGTGTGTGGGAGCCGAGGGTTTAGGGTTTAAGGAGGGTGCCGTGGGAGTGGAGCTAGGGTTTCAGCAGGGGGTGTGTGAGAGGGGTGTGGGACGGTCGGGGGAGGTTGAGCGGAGGCGGCCGTCGTGTCGTCAGCAGCGCCAGTAGTCCGGGGCCCTTGCTCCGGTAGCCCAGCGAGCCAGTCACTGTGCCAGTCGCCCGTGGGTCCGTTGCTCCTGCTGCTTGTCTTAGCCGCGGAGCCAGTTACTCCAGTAGTCCGGGGCCCTTGCTCCGGTAGCCACTGTGCGCGCCACTCCTGTTGCCCGAGTGTCTCCGGCTTCACCCGTTGACTCCTATCTCCACTCCTCTCACAGGCTCTCCTCCTCCTCACTTGCCCTCTATGACGGCCTCTAGTTTTGCTTATGATTGTGAACTATTGCTATGCCTGCTTGTTGTGCTGATTACACCCCACTTTGGCTATGGGTGTGTGTCAGAGTATGTTATTTGTCTAGCCTGCAGTGGGGTACTCAATAGTGAGTACAGCCCTTTAGGGTTTGCTATTTGTACCAACCTGCTTGCTAGTCCCATCATCCTTTTCTCAATTCTTGTTTCTCTTGAACTCTCACTCATACTTGGCGCTTGTCCTAGACTTCCTATGGCCTAGGCTCCTAAGCCTAGGCCCAACTACTTAGTATCTTTGACATGTATCACCCGACTTGTAGTAAGTCCGCCCTTGTAGTGCCTGCAAGTGCTGAACGGCAGTTCTTCCTACCCATTCAACTTGGCATGGGGGTAAAAGGGTTTCAGAAACCATCATGCACAAGACAACATCGTACCTCTCCACGCACCCTGGAGCGCTGATTCTACAAGCAGATCTGTCAAATGTCATTTAACAGCATCGATCGAGACGCCATCATAAACTCCCTACCCACTCACCTCACTGCTCCACCAACTCCTACCACCGCTGCATCTCACCCGCTGCTACTCACCCACTGCACCTCAAAAAGTTGATGCATTCTTCCTCAAATTACTTGGGAAAAAAAAAAAAAGGTTGACAGAAATGAAAATGAGCTTTAAAAGTTTGTGACTGGCGCACATAGAAAGAAGAAATGATCATAGGGCGCATGTATCGGAGGGCAAGACTTCATTGGCACATGTATCAGAGGGCAAGACTTGATGGGTTGACCTGATGTAACATGACCGGTAGAACAGCGATCATGGGTGAATCCTACCACCGGTAGAATGGTTTGTCTGACACCGCGATCCGAGAAATCAAATGGATGCGTAGGATGAGAGACGAAAAAAACGGGAGAAATGAGACATGGGGAGCGGCAAGAATGGGAGTTGATTATATGAAACAAATACATCTTCCGCCTCACTCCTAAACGTCTTTAGATCCATCCGCATTTAATGCATCTCCAACGAACACGGTCGCACAATCACATGCAGCTACACACTTCCATCCACCATGCGCACCACTCTCATCTATGAGCCGTACCCATCCATATTGGCCCACCATACATCACCCATTCGGGGCGGTGCACGAGCCAGAAGTGCTGCTGCTGTTGCTGCTGCTGCTGCCACTGCTGCTGTATCAACATTCTGCCGCTGCCCCTCCCCCGCCTCCTATTGCTGCCCCTCCCCCACCTCTTGCTGCTGTCCCTCCTGTGCCTCCTGCTGTGCCGCACGATCTGAAATCTATGCCACCTCCTCCTCCTCACATGTTCCTGCTACTGCCGGTGTTGCTGCTGCTGGTGGAGCCATCGACTGTCAGGCTTCCTTCGGCACAAGACACCTGCAACACAAGGAGAGCGGAAAGGAGATTGAGGGGTAAGGGGAAAGACGCGGGCGGGGAGATTTAGAAATCGCGGGGTGGAGGGGCTAGAATGTGGGAAACCTAGAAAGGGATGGGGAGGCGATGGGGTTGGAAGGTAACAAAACATGAATTGGATGGGTGCCTCGCGCACGCTCTGTTGGCACCCACCGGGGCCCCTCCGCCGTCGCTACGCTGCGCCTGCGGGCCTCACGCACCCTCCGTCGGCGGCCGCCGGGGCCCCCTCGCCCACTTCCCGCCGGCGGCCCGATGGCCCCGCACGCCCCCCGCCGGCGGTCCGCCGGCCCCGCGCGCCCTTCGCACTGGCGTTTCGGTTTGGGGTGTAGCAAGATTGAGGTTCAAGGGGTTCCCGAAAGAGAAGCAAGGTGAAAAGCATTTGTGAACACACGAGTGTTTCAATAAGGAAAGGAGGTTAGAACCAACACAGCTAGTGCATTGTGTGTACCAACCTCACCAGCTAGTGCAGACAAAAAAATGCTCGATACAACTAGCAACTAATAGCTCACTCACGAGAGTATAGAAGCTTAGGATCATGCATACCAAGAAGCAAAGATTGCTAGAACGATCTCATACTGAGCACGGCGCATATACGCAAACCATAGGTCTCGTGGCCGCCGAATGCAGGAGTAATTCTCTTAGAAATTGACACCTGGGGGGTGATAAACCAAGAGTAAAGACCCAGGACCTACGTCTGCCTCCGTCTAGTCCTCTAACCTTCCCCGTCGCATCGCCTGGTCTTCTCCCTCCCGTCGTCATCACTTTTCCTCATCAATTGACACCAATGTTGCTCTGCCCCGTTTCTCTTTCTCTTAATACCCACCTCACATTCCCTTCGAGTCGGCCTCAAATTCCATGCCCGTAGCCTTCGGTTTTGCATGACGTCGCCCACGTCCCTTCTTCCCGTCGCCCTCCCTTCCCCTTCCCGTCCCGTCGCCTGC